TCTCAAACAAAGTACACAAGCTGGGCCATGTGGTAAGGCTTCCACACCTTTGACGTAAGCTTAGCAGCAATATCAGTAAGACGATGAGGGGCAAGCAGCTCTCCCAACACGTGGGCATACAGTGTGACGTCGTCCTGGCTCTGGCTCTGCAGGTGGAGCGTGATGTCGAGCAGTCAAAGTCGATCTCCCGCCCCTCTGCATCGGCCACAATACGAACTCGATGCCATGATAGGAATGAATAGTGGCAGAGCTGCAGCGTATTGGAGGGGACAACCATATGTGGAGGAGGAGACAACTGGCGGTAGAGCAACTGGCGCAGCGACTCGACCGTGGAAGGACGGTACCGTAGCAGGGCCGCGGCTATGAGTGTGGCGTTGACACACTCGGCGGCGGCGGCAGGCGTATCAAAGGTACACTGGAGATCCCCGATTGATCCTCGGAAGGGGTTACAGACACGTTGGCCTGGGGGGTTAAGGACACACTCACCCGCTACACAAACAAGCCATTTTATCCCAGTGGATAGTGGCTGGGATTCTGACATGATATCAGAACGAAGGTCTCGGGTCCGAATCCTAGTGTGTGCACCTCGGGCATCCCAGTGCGGGAGGGTGTCTAAGGTCCACATGAGATCCCCGATTGATCATAGGGAAGGGATACAGACACGTCGGCCTGGGGGGTTATGAGCGCACTCACCCGCCATTTTATTTCAGTGGTTAGTGGCTGGGATTCCGATAAGGCGCGGTGGCAAGCACATGGTAGGCGCGTGGCTGGTGTGCGGTAGTCGGCCGCAGGAGAGCGGGAGCCGCGGGCGGCGGCAGGCGCGGTCGCAACAAGCGCGCGTGGGCGCGACGGTGGCAGGCGAGGCGAGCGCGGGAACAGCACGTGCTGCGACAAGGTGAAACGGAGGGCGCGCAGCAGGTGTGCGGCAGGTAGAGCGGCTGGCGCGACGGGGCGCTGCAGGGCGCTGCAGGACACGACTGGGCCGCTAGAGGGGGGAAGAGACAGGGAGTTAGAGGGCGCTAGATGGCGCTAGTGTGGGCCACTAGAGGAGGGGGGCGCTAGATGTCAAATGTTGTAGCCTGTAGTGAGGTTTGTCTTAGGGGGTACAAATGTTAGGGTCTGCTATATGTACCCCAACCCTCATCAATAACACAACACTTTCATTCTTAACATGGTATCACCTAGGTTAGGATCCTGTGGGATCCCGCACCTCTCGTCCTCGTTCGTTCCGCCCGAGCCTGTCTCGCTCTCTCGTACTAGTCGTACCCGTCTTGCCCGAGCCTAGCGCCGGCCCGATCCAGTCTCGCTCGTTCGTTAGCGCCGGCCCAATCCAGTGTCGCTCGTTCGTTAGCGCCAGCCCGATCCAGTCTCGCTCGTTCGTTAGCGCTCGCTCCGCCGACCCGCTTTCCGCGTAGCGTAGCGCCTTCCCCCCCCCCTGCCCGTCGCGTCGCGCTCTCCCCGGCTTCCCGTCCCGTCACGCCCTCCCCCGCTGCTCGTCGCGACGTGCCCTCCCACCCTGCCCGTCGCGTCGCGTCCTCCCCCCGGTGCCCTAAACGCCCGCTCGTCGTCGCCGCGGCGCCCCGTATTTCGTCGCCGCGGCACCCCGTATTCCGTCGCCGCGGCGCCCCGCGTTTCGTCGCCGCGGCGCCCCGCGTTTCATCGCCGCGGCGCCCCGCATTTCGTCGCCGCGGCGCCCCGCATTTTGTCGCCGCGGCGCCCTGCATTTCGTCGCCGCGCCTGCCCGTACCGCCCGCCGCCGCGCCTGCTCGTTAGGCCCGGCCGCGGGCCCGCTCATCCGGTCGCCGCGCCTGCTAGTTAGGCCCGCCGCGGGCCCTCCCTTACACCCGCCGCGAGCCCTGCCTTCCAGCTGCCGCGCCTGCTAGTTAGGCCCACCGCGGGCCCTCCCTTACAGCCGCCGCGGGCCCTGCCTTCCAGCTGCCGCGCCTGCTAGTTAAGGCCCGCCGCAGGCCCTCCCTTACAGCCGCCGTAGGCCCTCCTTCGCACCGCTGCGCCTACTCGTTCAGTTCGCCGCGAGACCGCCCCTAGCCCCGTTGCGCCCGCGTTTTGCGCCCGTCACGGACTTGCCCTAGCCGCCTACCGTCCCTACCAGTGCCACCCACCGCCCGACTTGTCGCTTCTACTTACACTATGGCGACCCCTAGGGTTCTTCGCTTCAACGGTGACGGTAGACTGCTCGAGTTTCCGGTCTGACTCCTACGCGCGCGTCGCCTCTTAGAGAGTCAGGTTCAAGCAGGCAGGTCCCTTTGGGCGCACGCTACTGGTGACCTTCCAGCGCCCGACGACCCTACACCTTTAGGCACTGCCCCTGACGACGCAGGCAGGGACCACTTCACCCGCCAGCGTGCTGACCTGACGGCGTGGAAGTCGCGTGACGCTGCGGCCTGCATCGCTCTTAGCAGCCTCCTCCCTGAGTCTGTGGAGGCCCACTTCACTCAGGTTCGCACTCCTAGTGAGTTCCTGATTGCGATTAAGGCCCGCTACGCTACTCCCACCACTGTCTCTCTTGGCCGACTCTTCCTACCGTTCCTGTTCCCTGACCTCGCCTCGTTTGAACGCTCTGCTGACTTGATTGCTCACCTCCGCTCGCTTAATTCTAGCTACTGCGCTGCTTGCACTGAGGCACAACTTGCACTGCTCCCTCCCCCCATGGCGATTACTATCTATTTCATCGCCACTAGCCTCCCTGACCGCCTTGCCTCAGTCCGTGACACGCTTCTTCTGAAGCACCCTAGTGAGCTCGCTATCGAGGTCCTTGAGTCTGCGCTCAAGGACGTCGAGAGCAACCTCGGCTCCGTAGCCTCCACCTCTGATGCTGTGCCCCCACTGTTCCACGGGTGCACTGTCCCTCAGCTGCCCACCTTTACAGCCTCTCTCGCCACTGCTGCTACTGACGTGACCGCAGCTGCTGTTACGACTTAGACTGGCACACACTGACACACACGCATAGACTGGCACACACACAAACAAGCACAAGTACATACAGATAATAAAGGCGCAAACAAGAATTCAGTCACCATCGCTAGCCTATCCCCCTTTACCCTCCCTACACCCCTCCTTCCCTCCATCCCTTATCTCCCTCCCACCCCCTCCCTCATCTCCCTTCTCTGCCAAACAAAATCAAAGAATGCAGCTCACGCGCCCTGCACAGAGCAAAAACAGAGAACGCAAAGCACACGCCCTGCACAAGAAAAGGGCAAAAACCAAGAATGTTCACACACTGTACAAAAAAATCAATTAAACATATAATGCTTCCCTATGAGGAGGCCAAGCAGGAAACGCAACTCACCCGCATAAAGCAAAAACAAAGAGAATGCAGCTCACACATGCACTTGAAACGAAATAACAAGAGTATAAAAAAGTTGTTGAAGAACGCACGGATCAATCAAAGACATGCAATGGGAATTTGACAACTCACAGAGGTAAAATGGTGTGGCACCACAGTACTACGCCAACATGAGGCAATACCTTGCAGCCACCCTCACGTTCAACTTCACACTCACGCTCGCACTCACTCTTATACTCAATCTTGCACCCACTCACACACAGACACACAAATACTCTCAACTTTCTTAGACACTCTCAAAAACAAACACACAAACCTACACGCTCTCTCATGCGCTCTCTCACGCGCACTCTCTCGCACACTCCCACGCGCACTCTCATGCGCACTCTCACGCGCGCTCTCACACGCGCTCTTACGCGCTCTCACGCGCTCTCTCACGCGCACTCTCGCGGGCACTCTCACGCGCACTCTCACGTGCTCTCTCACACGCTCCCCACGCGTCTCTCACGCGCTCTCTCACACGCTGTCTCACGCGCTCTCACACGCACTCTAACGCGCTCTCTCACGCGCTCTCTCACGCGCGCTTTCACAAGCTCTCTCACACCCACTCCCACGCTCTCTCACGCGCTCTCTAACGCGCTCTCTCATGCGCTCTCTCACGCGCTTCCTCATGCGCTCTCTCACGCGCTCTCTCACACACTCTCTCACGTGCGCACTCTTACACGCTCTCTCACACGCACTCTCACGCGCACACTCACGCGCACTATCACACGCTCTCTCATGCGCTCACTCACGTGCGCTCTCACGTGCACACTCACGCTCTCTCTCACGTGCACTCTCACGCGCTCTCTCATGCGCTACGCGCTCTCTCACGTGCTCTCTCACCTGCCCTCTCACGTGGCCTCTTACGTGGCCTCTCACGCGCACTCTCACGCGCTCTCTCACGCGCACACGCACTCTCACGTGCTCTCATGCGCACTCTCACACGCTCTCTCATGCGCACACACACTCTCACGCGCTCTCTCACGCGCACTCTCACGCGCACTCTCATGCGCTCTCTCATGCGCTCTCTCACGCGCACTCTCACGCGCACTCTCACGCGCTCTCTTACGTGCACACGCACTCTCACGCGCACTCTCACGCGCTCTCTCACGCGCTCTCTCACGCGCTCTTTCACGCGCTCTCTCACGCGCTCTCTCACGCGCACTCTCAGGCGCACTCTCACACCGTCACGCGCTCTCTCACGCGCGCTCTCGTGCGCACTCTCACGCGCGCTCTCGCGCGCACTCTCACGCGCACTCTCATGCGCTCTCTCACGTACGCTCTCTCATGCGCACTCTTACACCCTCCCTCACGCGCTCCCTCACGCGCTCTCTCACGCGCTCCCTCGCGTGCGCACTCTCACGCGCACTCTCACGCTCTCTCTCATGCGCACTCTTACGCGCGCACTCTCACGCGCACTCTCACGCGCTCTATCACGCGCTCTATCACGCGCTCTATCACGCGCACTCTCACGCACAATCTTGCGCACGCACTCTTAGGCGCTCTCTCACGCTCTCTCTCACGCAATCTCTCACGCAATCTCTCACGCTCTCCCTCGCGTTCCGTATCTCCCCTTCTTAAAATGAAAGTGCAATGCAAGAGGAGACCAATTGACACAGTAAATTTACGAGGAGAGCAGAAGATTTAGGAAATTTCAGCGGGGGGAGGGAGGATGAAAGGACCGGGACGCACCTAATAACCATGGTGCCTCAGCAAACAATCCGCGCTGGCGTGTCACAATAGTAGCACAAGTGGGGGCTAGATTTAAGTGAGGGCCTAGGCTTCGTAGCCTAGGCCAAGGGGAGTCGAGTGAGTTGTGGCAAAGAGGAGTGTCGAGAATGGTAGTATTCACTATAGCACGAGGGTACATATAGCAAACAAATGAAGAGGTGCACCACCTACAAAGTCAATAACTACACTACTGCTAGAACTACATGCAGTTATAACAACATAATTCTGACATGGCGCACCAACCCGCGCTCGCGCTCCAATTCGCACTTGCGCTCCGGGCATCTGTCGCCGGAGGCGACAGCGGGGAGGAGGGAGAGGCGACGGCGGGGAGGAGGGAGAGGCGACAGCGGGGAGGAGGGAGAGGCGACGGCAGGGAGGAGGGAGAGGCGACGGCGGGGAGGAGGGAGAGGCGACGGCGGGGAGGAGGGAGAGGCGGCGGCGGGGAGGAGGGAGAGGCGGCGGCGGGGAGGAGGGAGAGGCGACGGCGGGGAGGAGGGAGAGGCAACGGCGGGGAGGAGGGAGAGGCGACGGCGGGGAGGAAGGAGAGGCGACGGCGGGGAGGAGGGAGAGGCGACGGCGGGGAGGAGGGAGAGGCGACGGCGGGGAGGAGGGAGAGGGGATGGCGGGGTGGGATGGAGAGTGGATGGCGGGGTGGGAGGGAGAAGCGATGGAAAGGTAGGAGGGAGAGGCGATGACGAGGTGGGTGGGAGGGAGAGGCGATGACGAGATGGGTGGGAGGGAGAGGCAATGACAAGGTGGGTGGGAGGGTGAGGCAACAGGTGGTGGGGGAGGAGAAGCGATGACAAGGTAGGAGTGCCAAACAAGAAACTGCAGTAACCGAACTGGGAAAGGGGGGAGGAGGCATGAAACACAACACGAAAAAGACGATGGGGCAAAACGAAAACACTTAACAGAATTTGCACACCTTCCAGAAAGACCACGCGTGAAACCTTTGTATATCGAAACCCGAAAACGATGGGGCAATCCGAAAGCCAGAACAGAACTTGGGCACTTGGAAACTTAAAACCAAAAACCAAAACGCTGGTGCCACGTGAAAACACACGCATGATCACGTGAAATTTGTGTGACCTGGAAAACAACTCATTTTGAACCAATATATTTTTCCACACTTTTGCTAGAGCAAGAACCTGATGGTTCAATGTTACAATATGTCACATTGAGAAAGCTTGCTTTCTTTTTTATCAATTGGCATCGTTCTCATTACAAATGGCTTATTACAACATTTGCATCAACGTTGAACACAAGCTAGTGCAATCTAATAACACTAGCTAAGATGTACCCTATCCAAGTGGCATTAGCAAGGCGGTTTACTCTGGGGTGGGTGGTGGGAATGTTGAGTGAGCCGTTTGAAAATCGAGAAACGTGGGTGGAGGAAAATCAACTCCAACCCACGGTTTTTGTAGTTGGAGGAGGGCGTTTAGCGCACTTCGACGATGCCAATTGTGCAGTACAAGCAGCTTTGCTTTCACAATACACAATTTTAAAAAACACAATGTGTGTTAAAAAATTATAATATTGAAGATATAAAGCATAGTCGTTCATATTAATTAATACACAAAATCAATATTATGAGATTTCACCCAATTTTCACAATGAAATAATAATTAATCACATTATTCCATAATCAAGAACTAATGAGCTTGTCATATTTCTTAACACATGAAAATTAAACTTGGTACTATATAAATGCATTAAATTGCATATCCTCATGTTTTGTAATATATGAATGTAACGTCTACGCAACCCTTCCGACGTTAACGTCTAATCTTGTGTCTAGTTTGCAGGGAAGGAGGGATGCGATACAGTGCTTGCTTACTACCGTAAGGATGCCAGGACTACATGACTTCTAAATATTCCAGTGATATTCCAGTGATATTAGGTGTAATTCCTAATGAGCACATGCAAGCTTAAGTAGGCAACTATGTGCACACTCCTCACAGCACACACAAACCCAAACACAAAACCACACAGATGCACACACGCAATCTCACAGTCAGTGTCACCATTGAATGGACTAAAGGGCAAGGGAGAGAAGGGAGAAAACAGAAGCGATAGGTGGGTGAGGAAGAGAGGAAGAACAAACTAGAAGGAAGGCATTTCTCATGGCAGTACTTTCACACCCACTGCTCCTCCTTTCTTCATGGCATCACTTCAACTGCAGATTTAAGCAACTGCCTTATTTCCTTCAAAAGAAGCATCACTTCATATGGTGGACTGAGTTGCTGGTCTTCATATAAGCATCCCACGACCATAGTGACTAGCGGACACACATGAAAGACAGCATGTCAGCTGATGTGAGTCTGTCGAGGGGCACGCAAAGGAAGAAACGGGTAGATGCAGAGAAACGTGAGAGCACACATGAGGAAAAGCGGGTGTGTATGGGATAGAGATGCGTCTAGAGTCAATAACGATTTTGAAGCAGAGCAGGAATGAGACAGATGTATGTTAAACATCAGATTGGGTGTAATAAACGGGTGCAATGACTTACGAGACACCCGCGGCAGCGATGCTGGCGAGTGACAGGTAGGGCAGCTGAACCACCAGTGTAACGCAGTTGGCGTAGCGATACACGTTGACAGCCTGGCAGCCCCCCGCTCCTCCCGGTGCCTGGTCCACCCGCCAGTACGAGCGGACATTGAGGCCGATCATCGAAGGCAGGTTGGTGCATCCGGAGTATCTCACACGCATGGTGTAGGTGTAGGGCGTCAAGGCATATCCAGGCTGGTTATAGAAGGTGAGACTCGCAGAGGACACGGTTGGGAGGGCGCCTGAAAGACAAACAGGAAGTGGGAGAACAGAAAATCAGGGTATGGGGTGCGGCATGGGGTATGGGTCTAGGGAGGTATAGGTTTGACATGGATGGATGCAACATTGATGAATAAACCTGGCTAAGCCAGCACCTTAATTATTCAAAGAAAAATCAATGGTTATAATTGAATACAAGCATAATGGCCTTACCACGGACGCAACCAGTGGGGGCCATGCCAAAGCCAGGAGGGCAGACATAGTAAGGAGCCTTTCTGGTGGATGAGACGAGCGTGCATGTGGCCAGGGACGGACAGTTGCCACATGTGGCAGGTCCTGGTAAGCGCAGGGTGGTGAAATCAGGCAGTGCGACAATGTGAGAGCAGGCAGAGTAGAAGGCAAAGCTGAAGAGTGCATGTGGCCAAGGCCAAGCAGTTGCCACATGTAGCCGGCCCTGGTACACGCAGGGTGGTGAAATGATGGGAAGATGTGAGTGCGATAGGTAGGAGAGCGGCTGGACTAGAAGAGTGCATGTGGCCAGGGACGGACAGTTGCCACATGGGGCAGGCCCTGGTGTGCGCAGGGTGGAGAAAAAGTGGGAATATGTGAGGAGAGGAGACATGATGCGACTGGAGAGCAGGTAGAGAAGACGGGGCCAAGAGGGCAGACAAGAGAGCAGGTGGCGAGGGACGGGCGGTTGCCACATGTGGCAAGCCCTGGTGAGGGCGGGGTGGAGAAGCAGAGTGAAAAAGAGGGATATATGGGTGAAATAGGAGAGTAGGTGGGGTGGACGAGGCCAGGAGGGCACACGCAGTAGGAAGCCTTTCTGGTGGAGACAGGCGTGCAGGTGGAGAAACACAGAGCAAGAGAGGAAATGCGTGGGTAAAATAGGAGAGCAGGTGGATAAGAAGGGGAGAAGCTTCGTGCGACAGCTGGGCAGATGAGATGGGAGCATGCAACAGAGCATGGGCCAGCGCAAGGGGCATAATGAGATGTGTGAAAGAGACGCACATAACAGCAAGAAAGGTCAGGGAGATTTTGAGATGACTGACGAGGCATAGGACAGCACAAGCAGCAGCACAATGCAATGCGTGAAAGAGAAGCACATAGTCGTGTGCATGCAACCAGAGTCGTGTGCATGCAACCAGAGTCATGTGCATGCAACCAGAGTCGTGTGCATGCAACCAGAGTCGTGTGCGCGGGCAAAACGATGCAGAGGAGGAAGCGAGGATGGAGTGAGAGGGGATGTGGGGGGAGTGGGGGGGAGGGGAGGTGAGGTTGTAATCCGTCCAAGGTTCCAAACAGAACTACTTACCTACACAGGTGTCGTAGAGCAGTGTTTAGCCTGACTTTCGAGATGCAAGGGCTTCAAAAGTAAGAGACAACAATACATACCAACACAGGTGCCGTAGAGCAGAGTGTAGCATGGCTTGCACACACAGTAAGCCGTGCCATCTTCATACTTCATACAATCCGACGTGAGCACCTGGCACCTCTTAAGAATGCAATTATCTGGGGGGGAGGGGGTTGGAAGGGAAGGGGGGATTAATGAGCGTGGGGCAAAGAAGAAGGTCCTGAGAATGAGAGCGACAGGGAGAACGCAGAGATGCAGAGTTGAGGGAAGAAGGACGAGAAAGAGAGAGCGTGAGAAAGAAAAGGGGCACAGAAGAGAGGACAAGAGATGAAGGGCAGAGCGCAGGCGAGAGAGGAAGAGGTAGAGGGAGCAGGAAAGAGGAAGCGAGGAAAAGCACATACAAGGACACAAAAAGCACAGCAGTAAAACACAGAAGGACGCGAGAGCAAACATCAACACACACCATCCTAACCAGTGCATGTCCTGCCATCACCCATGAGCGTGAAACTTTTGAGTCGACTCAAATGTCAACTCGCAAGAGCACGCATCAACACACATCAACACACACCATCCTTACCAGTGCATGTCCTGCCATCACCCATGAGCGTGAAACTTTTGAGTCGACTCAAATGTCAACTCGCAAGAGCATGCATCAACACATATCAACACACACCATCTTACCAGTGCATGTCCTGCCATCACCCATGAGCGTGAAACCAACGTCACACACACAAGATGCCATCCCCGCCTCGTCCTTCACGCAGCGGCCATTCTCACCACACGCCTGCAGTATGCACGTGTCTGCCAGGGCAGGGAGGAGCATGGGAACCATGAATGCATGCAAAGGGTTAGAAGAAGAATACCATGAATGCATGGGTTACCATGAATGCATGGGTTACCATGAAGGCATGGGTTAGAATGAATGCATGGGCTACAATGAATGCATGGGTTACAATGAGTGCATGGGTTACAATGAATGCATGGGTTACCATGAATGCATGGGTTACCATGAATGCATGGGTTACAATGAATCCGTTGTATCAATACAACACACATATTTAGGTAGCACCAACACAACAGCCTTAGCTGTGCACGTTATGCCATCATTCTGCAGCACATACAGAGCGTCGACTCGGCTGATATAGACTCATCCAAACCAACACACACGGCCGGAAATCATCCAACAGCAAACGACAGAAATATTTGTCAGGCATCGCATTGCAGCGGAGCACTGACCAAGCCAAGACAGCCGTTGTAAGTCACAGCATAGCCCCACCCCAGTTGCAATGTTCTGTGTCGACTAGAAAAACCACCAAAACATGCGGCACCGAACCACAGAAACACAGTTGTCATGCGTAGCAGCACAGCACAGGCCAACGCATGACTTTTGAGTCGACTCTAGTCACCTCGACAAGCAGCACTGACCAACACAGCCAGTGGCGGCCATGGCGTAGCCCCAGTTGCAATGGTTTGAGTTGACTCAAAGCACACAAATCACAGAAACATTTGTCGCGCATTGCAGCAGAGTGCAGCACTGAAAAACACAGCAGGGCACTGACCAACACAGCAGGGCACTGACCAACACAGCAGGGCACTGACCAACACAGCAGGGCACTGACCAACACAGCAGGGCACTGACCAACACAGCAGGGCACTGACCAACACAGCAGGGCACTGACCAACACAGCAGGGCACTGACCAACACAGCAGGGCACTGACCAATACAGCCGGCGTCGGTCATGGCATAACCCTAGTTGCAGTGGCAGACTGCGAGCTTCTGCTCCTTCTCACAGTACGTGTTCTCCCCACAGTCCCTTATCGCACACGAGTCTGTTGGGGAGACAGCATGAGAGAAGGCACATACGGCCGGGGAGTAACAACAGAGTGAGGGCTTTTGGGGCACCTCAAACAAAAGTCGCTCCTGCTCCTTCTCACAGTACGCGTTCTCCCCACAGTCCCTTTTAAAGCACACGAGCCTGTTGGGTTGATACACACAGCACGAGAAAACGCACATGTGGCCGGGAAGAAGCAACGACCGAGTGAGAATGCACGGGAGAGAGAGGAAGTGGAAAGAATGGAAGGAGTGTCCTCCCTGCCTGCCTGCATGCCCGAGAGGACTTTGAGTGGGACTTCAAAGGTCTTAACGAGGGGCAGCAACTGCAGGACTACCTTCTAGCCAACAAGCATGGAAGGGAAGTGGAATGGTCGGAGTGCCCTGCCTGCCTGCCTGCATGCGTGCATGCCTGAGAGGACTTTGAGTGCAAACTGGAAAGGTCATATCAAGAGGCAACAATTGTACGGGTGTTATGCGTTGGAGAGGGGGATTTCGGCCACAAGAAGCAGCAGCAGACATGGGATGCAACGAGTGTGGGTGAAGGCACTCACGCGTGCAGGATGCATTGGGAAGCAGCTTGAGGCCTCTTTCACACACGCAGTTGGCCCAGCCTGCCTCATTCTTCAGACACCTTGCGTTGGGGCTGCAGTTGCGTACCGTGCACACATCTGCACTCAGACACGTGGGGGCAGGTACGTGGGGGCAGGTACATGGGGGCAGGTACGTGGGGGCAGACACAGCAAAATCGAGTTTTGAGGCGCCTCAAAAGTTGGGGCTGCAGTTGCGTACCGTGGACAGGTCTGCACTCAGACACGTTGGGGCAGACACAGCACAATCAGCCAGAAACCATAATGCATGTGCAGAAGCTGTGAGGTGAAATGCAGATACCAAAATAACGCCATGATAAGCCTGCAGCGGAGTGGAGTGGAGCAATTCTGCATGCGAATCCAATCACTCCGACAGCACTAGCACCCACCAACGCAGTTGCCCTTAGCGTCCTTCTCTTGGCCCCGTGGGCAGCGGCGGTTGCTGGCAGCAGGTGGCAGGACGACGGCTGGAGCCCTGGGTGCATTCTCTGCGAGACATGATCGGGGGGAAGGGAGGCCAAGATGACTTCTGAGTCGACTCAGAGGTCGATGGCTGAAGCCCTGGGCGCATTCTCTGCGAGACACAATGGGGGGTAGGGAGTGCAGGTCAAGTTGGAAGCATGGATGTGCAGGGATGTGCAGGCACAGATATTTGAAATGTTAGCAGAAACGATAGGAGGCAGAGAGGCGGAGGTCAAGAGGGAATGGTGAGAGAGAGAGTGAGTGAGGGAGATGGGGAGAGAGAGGGAAAAAAAAGAAGCATGGCAGCGCAGAGCAGCCTTACCAGCGCACGACTTGACATCATCTCGCAGGGTGGAGTTAGCGTCACACACGCATTTTGGCTCCTAAGAGTACCCAAATCCCAACTCATGGCAGCACAGCACAGCAGAAGCCTTGCTTCGAGGCGCCTCAAAAATAGCAGCGCAGAGCAGCCTTACCAGCACACGACTTGCCATCGTCTCGCAGGGTGAAGCCAGCGTCACACACACACGACGCCGCCCCCTCCTCGTCCTTAACGCACTGCCCATTCTCACCGCACTCCAGGAGCACACACGTGTCTGCCAGGAGAGGGAGGAGCGGCGGGAGCAGAAAAAACGCAACAGCAACAGTGAATGCGAAGCACACATGGCAGCGGCAGCACATGACACATCAGCAGCAGTAACAGGTTGCCATCACAGCGTGACTCATCAGGACAACACGGGATAGCAAGCAGCACTGACCAACACAGCCGTCCGCGGTCTTGGTGAAGCCAGTGTTGCAGCGACAGGTGGTGCGCCCCCCCTGCTCCTCCTCACAGTACCCATTCTCCCCAGAGTCTGCACTCGTGCACTCCTCTGCCAGGTTTACAGCACGAGAGGGAGGACAGAAAAGTAAGCACAGGAGAGTAACAGAAAAAAAAAATGTTGGAGTGGGAAAGTTTGGAACGAGAGGCAGCAATGGCATGTGTGTCAAGCATGCAAGGAAATAAGGGCGACATCCAGTCCTGTGCAGGACGCTGGATTGGGCAGCAGCGGATGTGGGAAGCAACACAGGGGAGAAGGTGAAGTGTGGGTGAAGGTGAAGGCACTCACGCGCGCAGGACGCATTAGGCAGCAGCTTGAAGTCTCTGTCCTGTCGCACACGCGGTACCTTTTGAGAAATCTCTAAGGTGAGGCACTCACGCGCACAGGAGGCGTTGGGCAGCAACTTAAAGCCCCTGTCGCAGACGCAGTCCGCCCAGCCCGCCACGCTCTTGAGGCACCTCGCGTTGGCGCCGCAGCTGCGGTCCGTGCATGCCAGGCGCATGGCCTCCGCGGCCCTGGGCGCACACGCTGGTTGAGAGAGCGGAGGGAAGGGGGAAGAGAGGGGGGGGGTTGAGGGGGGGGGGGGGGGGGGTTTCGAGTCGAGTCAGAAGTCACACGCAGTCCGCCCAGCCTGCTTGGATCTTGAGGCACCTCGCGTTGGCGCCGCAGCTGCGATCCGTGCATGCCAGGCGCAGGGCCTCCGCGGCCCTGGGCGTACACGCTGGGAGACACCGACCAGGGAAGACAGGGGAAAGGGGTCGGAAGGAGTGGTAAGGGGTGGAGGAGGTGGAGGAGATGGTCAAGATGGAAGGGCGAGGAGAGCTGGCGATGTTAAGGCTTACGAGGAACTATGCAGACACTGTGTGCTTACATGCATGTTCGTGCAGCAATGTGTGCTATTCTGTGAAAAAAAAAAAAACAAAACAAAACAAAACAAATCAAGTGCAGATAGCTGTTCGCCAGGCCGGTGAGAGAATGAGCATACCTGAGAGTATGAGAGCAACCAGCGCAGCAGCGAGCACAAGCCTGAGGCCAGAGCGTTGCATCACAGCAACGTCGCACGCAGCCATGGCTGGTCTTTCTGGATTTTCGAAAGCGAGAACCCGCGAAAAAACGCAACCCGGAGAGGTCCTTGAGGAGGTGCGTAACGGTTTGAAATCGGTCAAGCAGGAAAGGGTGGAAAGGGGTGATTTGCGGACTGGAATGATGATGGGTTTAGTCCCATCGCTAAAATACTTCCACCGCCAGGCTCAGTCCCGCCTCCTAGGCTGGCAGAGAGTACGCCGCTCAGCCCTAGATGCCTCCTACGCTGCCGAATGCCGCGGTTGGAACTCCGCCCTTCCGCCCACCCTTTGCGGATGCCATAGTGCGCGGCACGCAGTGACCAATGGCAGGCATCCCCGGGGCCCTTATGAAGTTTTATCCAATGTTAGAGCAGCACGCGACATGACGCAATCCAAACAGTTCAGACGTCAAGTTCACGCCGACCGTCAAGCTCCAAGAAACTTGGAAGGCGGCAGTTTCGGATTCCCCAAGAACATCACTTGGAATCTTAGCGTTGTTCACGTTTTTGTAGCCGTCCTTGACGGCATTGTCAGAATATTATGTTTCTCTAGTCTGCAGTGGGGTACTCTATAGTGAGTACAGCCCTTTTAGGGTTTGCTATATGTATCCCAATGTTTGCTAGTGAACCCCCTATTCTCTCATTCATTCCTCATTTCTTCACATGGTATAGAGCTGGTTCCCTCCTGGGACTGTTCCTTCCTAAGGGCCCACCACTTAAAACTTTTTTTTCCTAACCTGCCCGAAGCGCCCTTCGCGCTCGGCCTGCCCTACCCTTTCGCGGCCCCTTCGCGGCCTGCCCTGCCCTTTGCGGCCCCTACGCGGCCCCCCCTTTGCGGCCCCTTACCATGCCCCGTCGCCTGTCGCGGCGCACCGGGGACCCGTGCACCGCCCCCCCCTCTTTTCCCGTCGCCTGGAGGGGCGACCTGGGGGGGGGGGGCGCGCGTCACCCCTTCTGCCGCGTGTTCTGGCGCCCTGGGAGGCCGCGCGTCGCCCCCCCCCCCCCCCCCGTAACCTCCCTACCCGCCATCCCGTCCTGCCCTGTGTTAGGGTTTGGGGGTGGCGAGTAGGGGGTGGCGGGTGTGTGGTCTCCCCTGCTCCTCCTCCTCCTCCTCCTCTGTCTCCCACTGCTGCAGCTGCCGCTGAGGGGGGTGGGTGTGTGGGAGTTGACGGAGTGGTGCTAGGGGGTGGGGTGTGAGTGAACCTAGGGGTGCAGCAGGGGGTGTGTGAAATGGGGGTGGGATAGTTTGGGGAGTTTGAAGGGGGGTGGCCGCCGTGAAGCCCGCAGCTCCAGTCGCCCGTGAGACCGTTGCGCCAGTCGCCCGTGAGCCCGTTGCGCCAGTCGCCCGTGAGCCCGTTGCTCCAGTCGCCCGTGAGTCCGTTGCTCCTGCCGCTCAGAGTTAGCCGCGGAGCCAGTTACTCCAGTAGCCCGTGTGCCAGTTGCTCCAGTTGCCAGTGTGCCAGTTGCTCCAGTTGCCCGTGTGCCAGTTGCTCCAGTTGCGCTGTGTGCCAGCAGCTTCAGCTGCCGCCCACTACCTCCTCTCCTCTCATAGTCCCTCCTCCTCCACACTCTGCGATAGCCTCTAGCTTTGCTTACATTTGTGAACTTTAAACTGTTGCTTCTTGTACTTGTGCTCAGAATGTGTGGTGACATTGTGATCCACCCTGAGCTTGTTCTGCTTTGCTTGTTGTGCTGATTACACCCCACTTTGACTATGGGGGTGTGTCAGAATATTATGTTTCTCTAGTCTGCAGTGGGGTACTCTATAGTGAGTACAGCCCTTTTAGGGTTTGCTATATGTATCCCAATGTTTGCTAGTGAACCCCCTCTGAAAAGATTAGGAGGTAGAGAAGTTTAGAACGAAGAAGAAGAGAGGGTTCACTAGAAAGCAGCAGGATACATATAGGAAACCCTAAGGGGTTGTACTCGCTATAGAGTACCCCACTGCAGGCTAGAGAACAATGACATTCTGACACCCTCTTCTCTCATTCATTCCTCATTTCTTCACAGGCATTCGTGAACGATACTGTACTGTACTGTACTGTACTGTATTGGCGATACCGTCCTACCGCCGCGCGGAAGATATGCACTAGCCCGGCTTGAGCTTGAGCCATGACTCTTCGATGTGTACAATACCCAGGATGCTTCAAGCATAGATCATTCCAGCACGCGAGGAACGTTGGGCGGTGAGCATTCGTTTTGGGCTCAATTCTTCGGAAGGGAATTATCGGATGACGTGGCGCGCCCTCCCCGGCATTTGGACAAAACACAAGACTTCACTGGCCCGACCCAAACCTGTCGTGGCCTGCTTGACGAATCTGACGTGCGCTGAACAGTCGCCGACCTCCCCTAACCTAATATACTGGCAGTAGTAGAAGCACCGGTCAATAACTTGACAGGTCGATCCCAACGACTCGTAGAATTTTTTTTTGCATCCCGACGCACGCATTGGTGTTCATATACCTGACGCCTATTTCAGTCCCCTTCCCCATCTTTCCCTATGCTCCTCTCTCGAGCACGCGCTCCCCATGGGGAGAATGGGACTGTATTTGGGTAGCCTAGCGTGTCTTGTCTGGGAAACTCGAATAACTTATTCGAGGTCAAGAATATCTTAGTTTTGTCTTGGGCTAGTAACGCGCGGGCCGTTGGCTGTGAATGTCGTCCACTGGGCATATGGAGTGGCAGTGGGCGTGTTCAGAGTGGGCGGTTGAGTGAGCATTAGGGTTTACGAAACTAAGACTCAGAAGGACGGTCAATAAAATTTGTCTCTTGCGACAAATTCGAGCTAACTATTGGCAACAGGCAAAAGTGGACAGTTATTAGCTGTCCAGGCGAAAGGGTCTCGGTGATGTTCGATTGCACCAATACGTTGCTGTCTTTTATCACCGTACGATAATCGCGCAGTAGGAAGCTAACCCAGCACTCTACATCGGGCCAAAAGACGGCAGGTTTACATTAGTACGGTACGGTACAATGCAAACCTGTACTAATGCACTTGTACTGGATGGTGGTTGATTTGGAGTGACGACCAACCTTCGAGCTGCTATTGGATTCGCACTTAGCAAGGAATGAGTGGAACACGAATGAAAAAATAGAAGACGAACGGAAGACGAATGGAAGTGAATCTGTGCCACACATCTGCAAGTTTATGGACCAATCATAGCTACGTCGGGTCACTCTAATTGTGTGGTTTCAACCAATCCAACGGATATCGGAAGCCCAAGCCCAATGGGTGCCGCCGCACATCTCAGCAATCTAGAAGCTGCGGCCATTATCTCCGATACTCAAATTTTGCCTGAGCCCGTTCTCAGGTGTAATCACCAGCAGAAACACGGTTTTGCGATATAGTGTGAAGCTATTCTGGCTCGGTTTTGTATATAGTCACTCAAAAAAAAATTCCAGCACTTGCAAAAAAAATAAAACCCAATCGGATAGGGATGCGACTCGGGAGGCATCAACCCTAAAAACAATGCCCATTCCCGTGTTAGGGTTGACCTTTCTCGAAAATGCATCCAGGTTCCCTCGTGGTTTTATTTATTTCTGCCATGCCCTAATAGTTCTCGGTAGCATCGTTTAGTGCTTTCGGAGCGTTGTTTAGCGGTCGGTTGCGCTACCGAGCACTACCAAGTGAATTATATGGGCTTCATCCGCTTACTACCTAAATTTCCGCACTTATATCCAAGTCGGGTGGGTAAAATGGACGGTTCTGTTTTTGTCACTTTCTAATGAGTTCGACCAGCGTGGGATTTGTGACTAAAAAGCGACGATCAATCAACGTTGAGAAAGTCCAGGTTGATTACACCTGAGAACGCGCTCAGGCAAAATCTGAGTATTGGAGATAATGACCGCTAGAAGCTGCTTCAACGTTGAGGGTCGTCCTGCGAGTATTCCCGCTCGTGTTTTGACACAAACGGTCGCAAGCCAATCGGGGTTGCCGAAAACAAGATGAAACCAAAGCGACCTGAAACTCCAGTTGTGGTGCTAGGAGCTCTGTCGTTTCGCCAATCACTCTTGTTGCCGTATCTCGCAAAATGGTAATGGCTCGCGACGATTCGTGCCTTCTCGTGAAATATGAATGCATTGCTGGTTATCTTTTTTTTTTTTTCCGGAAAGTGAAACCGCCAAAAAGAACCCAAATGCAACATACATAAAAACCCCCCTCAAGATACCCAATCAAAACGTCCAGTCAAAACACCCCATCAAGACATCCCATCCCACACCCCATTTCTCCTCCCCCCCCCCCCCCCCCAATCACAACAGCGTATCCACCGTTTACGGGGCCTCCACCCAGAGAGCCCCGCCTTCCACATCGACATCGTCCCTCTCCCGGTCCACCAAATCTACGTTAATCCCCCCCATGGAAGACGCCGCTCGAAGCAGGATGACACGGGCTTGCGCACGTTGTAACGCCACCCCGATGAGCGCCTTCAGTGATCCTAAAAGATAAGAATCCGAAAACACAGTGTCGTCCTCCCGACAAGCCCCCCGCAACACGGCTAGCCCCATGTGTGCATCCCCCTGCTGACGAAGCCACCGCCGAAAACGACCGCCGAGACACCCCCACGTCTCTACTATCAGAGGGGGTGAATTGCACGCCCCGGTTGCGTGCAAGTAGAGGCGCGTAATCACTCGTTTTGCGACGCTCCCACTCTCTTGCCGCCACACCTATGAATCGCCCGCACTGTCCTAGCAGAGATGGAGACAGCGATAGCGGGTCCGCGACGCTGATCTCTATGGCGTGAGCCTCTCCAGCCATTGGCCGTCGCACCGCCACATCAACCCGCTTCCCCTGCAGCACCACACTATCCTCCATTGTCACCACCCCCCCCGACGCCTTAGAGATCTTCGCCACCGCAAACTTCACCTCATCATGCACCAGAGATGGACCATGCTGGTGCTTGCATCTCAGGGCATGATGCGGGTCTACTGGGTCAACATACGCTGTGTCACAAACACACCTCCCCGCCACCTGCAGCTGCTGAATTGGGAGCCCGAGCCGTATAGCAGCAGCAATGCCCCACTCAGCCGCAGTCAATGTGAGATCTGAGTGAGCCGGAACCGCCGAAACCCATGCACCCGCTCCCGGGCCCTGAAGGAATGTGAAACAGGCCAAGGCAGCATCGTCACGAGCCAAGCGGCGCAGTGCCTAGAGCTCCTCTACAGCTAACTGCCGCTGCCGCGCCTGGAAAAGCCAAACAGGAGGGGCCGCTACACACAGAGGTAAGCCCGGTATCTCCTGGCGGATAGTCGCTGGCAGCTGCTCAAGAGCCTTGACAAACCACGGGTCAAGAAACTCTGCCCCTGTCGAAGTGGTGAGGTACTCTGCAAACATCGCCTCCTCGCCCGCCACCCCTAACTGTGCAATGTCATGCGCGGCCTGCGCCCACCCACAAACATAGGACAGTGGGCTCAAAGAGGCCGCCGCCCGGATCCCGAACCCTCCGAGTCGCACCGGGAGATGCAGCTGCATGCGTGCGCGCCTAGACCGGTCGGGTTCCTGCTCCCAAGTGCCAGGTGGGAAAAGTTGCTCAAAGCAATCCTCCAAACAACTGTCCCAATCCCTAAAAGCCTCAATCACCTCCGGACGCGGCGGTATAGTCCGGGCGAGGTACATCGGCCGCGCTGAAATTGCAATGGCGAGAAGGTGTGAAGCCATCTGGGGGTGGTCGAGCAAGGGGAGCCATGGCAGTGGCGCCTGCAACTGTCGAAGCCGCTCCCGTAGACGGACCACCTCCCAATCCTCCTCCCCAATAGGCACGCCCACCACAGTAAGACCCTCCTCCACCCGCTGCATCCCCAATGGCAGTGCCTGCTCCACATCCCTGCCCTCGCGCTCCCAAAACCGGCACTTGTGCGCCTGCACCTTCAGCCCCACCCACTCCAACCGCTCCCGCAGCACCCCAAAAGCCTCCAGAATCCTAGCCGCTAGCCCCAAGATATAGGTATCGTCTGCGTAGCTGAGGAAAACCAGGTCCCCGAACTCCCTAGTAGCCGGCTCCATCATCTGCTGCTGCGTGAACGCGAAAAGAAAAGGGCCGAGCGGGTCCCCCTGCCTCGATCCCCGTGCTGACTCGAGGCTCTGTACGAAAGGGCCTGCTCGCAGGTACAGGTCGCTAGGTCTCCCATAGAAAACACGCAAGAATGGGATCATCCCTGAGAAAGGCGACTCCCGCAGCCCATCGAACATCGCATGACGGTGAAACGAATTGAAGGTGTTTGCGACGTCTATCTGTAGCGCACACCAGTCGGGGTGAGTGGCCAGCGCTGACCGGAAAGAATGGATGAGAATCTCCGCACCGACCCTGGTGCCCGCTCCCAGCTGGTTGCACGGTAGGAAGTAGGAAGCCATCGCAGGGCGGAGCGAGATGCAAAGAGCTCGAGCAAGGATACGAGGAAGCACCTCCCCGATCGCCACCGGCCGGACGTCGCCGTTAGGCTTGGAAATCCCGACTAGGTTGGATGCGGCGAGCCACGGCCGAGCCCGCTCGGGGACCTGTCCCGCCACCCATTGGTTGAACACTTCCAACAGGTGGGAGAGGCAGGAAGGTTCAGTGAGGAAGGTGTCGCGCAGATGCTCTGTGACCCACCCCGATGGCCCTGCTGCTGAAGCTCGAGCGGCTGTATGGATAGCTCTGGCCAGGATGTTGGTCGTGAGTGAAGGCCGCTGAGCAGTATCGACGGTGAAATTGCGGACCCACTGTGGTACCTCGCCAGTGCTAGTCGGGTGCTTCTCTCGAAGCGACTGCACCATGGCCTCAGACGGTCGAGCCAACTCCCTTGCTGTAAGACAGGCCAATCCACGGCTCCACTCCCCCACTTTGCACCGAGATCAGCACCGTGACAGGCGGATGGCATCCGGGTCCTGGTCAGAGCAAGTGTAGGAAAGTGGGCGAACTGCTAGCCGCGCCGCCGCCATGGCAGAGTCGAACAGCTCCCGCCACCTCCCCTCCCAGAATGCACCCAGCCACTCTGTGATCAGCGCCTTCTGACCTGTGCCTGGCTTGGGAGGCACGGCTAGGATGAGGCGCGGAAACGCCAAGAGTAGGAGGGTAGCGGCTTCATCTCCCGGTTGGCTCTTCAAGCGCTTTAGGATGCAACAGAGCATGTCTAAGACCCCCGACCTGGCCCGCTGTGGGATCCGGCGCACTGTCCTCCCTCCAACCGCCTCCATACTGAAAAATGTTTCCCATTCCCATGACGTAACCCCAGCCCACGCCTCGTCCCCAAATTCCTGCGGCGTCGGTCGCTCCTGCGTGTCGGTCTCCACCAGAGACGGAATCGAGCCGAGAGCCTGTCCACGCCTCTCCACCTCAGCCGCCCGGCATACCCTCATGTGGTTCGCAGCGGCCCCTCGCGTAGCGAAAGTGTGAAAACACGTGTCACAAGGAAAACGGGGGCATGGGGAAGGCGGCCTGGGAGGTTCTCCGTCTGCCTCTGACTCCTCCGCAGTCGCCATGGGGGTACCAAACTCCAATAGTTGGCACCAATCCTCCAACTGCTGCTCCTGGTCGTCCATCGATCGCCCCCCTGCCTGCTGCTCCTGGTCGTCCTGCGCTCCCTGGGGTGCCCAGGGCACCCTCGGCTGCCCCCCTGGCTGCTGCGCTCCCTGGGGTGCCCCGGTCAACCCCAGCTGCCCCCCTGCCAGCTGCTCTCCCTGCCGTGCTCCGGGCACCCTCGGCTGCCCTCCTGCCTGCTGCACTCCCTGTGGTGCCCGGGGCACCCTCGGCTGCCCTCCTGCCTGCTGCACTCCCTGGGGTTCCCCGGGCACCCTCGGCTGCCCTCCTGCCTGCTGCACTCCCTGGGGTGCCCCGGTCACCCCCGGCTGCTCCCCTGCCTGCTGCTCGCCCTGGGGTGCTCGGGTCATCCCCGGCTGCCCTCCTGCCTGCTGCACTCCCTGGGCTGCTCAGGTCACCCTCGGCTGCTCCCCTGCCTGCTGCTCGCCCTGGGGTGCTCGGGTCACCCCCGGCTGTCCCCCTAGCTGCTGCTTTCCCTGGGGTGCTTCGGTCACCCCCGGCTGCCCCCCTGCGTGCTGCTCTCCCTGGGGTGCTCCGGGCACCCTCGGCTGCCCTCCTACCTGCTGCACTCCCTGGGGTGCCCCGAGCACCCTCGGCTGCCCTCCTGCCTGCTGCACTCCCTGGGGTGCCCCGGGCAACCCCGGCTGCCCTCCTGCCTGCTCCACTCCCTGGGGTGCTCCGGGCACCCCCGGCTCCCCACCTGCCTGCTGCACTCCCTGGGGTGCCCCGGGCACCCCCGGCTGCCCTCCTGCCTGCTGCACTCCCTAGGGTGCTTTGGGCACCCCCGGCTCCCCACCTGCCTGCTGCACTCCCTGTGGTGCCCCGGGCACCCTCGGCTGCCCTCCTGCCTGCTGCACTCCCTGGGGTGCTCCGGGCACCCTCGGCTGCCCTCCTGCCTGCTGCTTTCCCTGGGGTGCTTCGGTCACCCCCGGCTGCCCCCCTGCGTGCTGCTCTCCCTGGGGTGCTCCGGGCACCCTCGGCTGCCCTCCTACCTGCTGCACTCCCTGGGGTGCCCCGGGCACCCTCGGCTGCCCTCCTGCCTGCTGCACTTCCTGGGGTGCCCCGGGAACCCCCGGCTGCCCTCCTGCCTGCTGCACTTCCTGGGGTGCTTTGGGCACCCCCGGCTCCCCACCTGCCTGCTGCACTCCCTGTTGTGCCCCGAGCACCCTCGGCTGCCCTCCTGCCTGCTGCACTCCCTGGGGTGCTCCGGGCACCCTCGGCTGCCCTCCTGCCTGCTGCACTCCCTGGGGTGCTCCTGTCATCCCCAGCTGCCCCCCTGCCTGCTGCACTCCCTGGGGTGCCCCGGGCACCCTCGGCTGCCCTCCTGCCTGCTGCACTCCCTGGGGTGCTCCGGTCACCCCCAGCTGCCCCCCTGCCTGCTGCACTCCCTGGGGTGCCCCGGGCACCCTCGGCTGCCCCCCTGCCTGCTGCACTCCCTGGGGTGCCCCGGGCACCCTCGGCTGCCCTCCTGCCTGCTGCACTCCCTGGGGTGCCCTGGGCACCCTCGGCTGCCCCCCTGCCTGTTGCTCTCCCTGGGGTGCTCCGGGCACCCTCGGCTGCCCTCCTGCCTGCTGCGCTCCCTGGGGTGCTCCGGCCAACCCCGGCTGCCACCCTGGCTGCTGCTCTCCTTGGGGTGCCCCGGGCACCCAGGGCTGCCCCCCCGCCCGCGGAGCTCCCTGGGGTGTCTCAGTCGCCCCCGGCTGCCCCTCCGCCTGCTGTGCAGCAGCACCGCTTCCAGTGCGCCCTTGCGACTTACAGGCGTGTCGTCTCCCGCCTCGGCCCCGTGCCTGGGTTCTCTTCGCTTGGCTTGTAGCGTCCGCACTAGCGACCTCCAGCTGCCCCCGCGCCCGCAGCTCCCGCCGCTCCCCCTCCGACAGCTCCTGCTGCCCTCCCCCCGACAGCTCCTGCTGCCCTCCTGTTGGCAGCTCTTGCCGCTCTTCCCCCGGCAGCTCCTGCTGCCCTCCTGCCTGCAGCCGGGCCTGGTTCCCTGATTGGTCCTGCTGCACCTCTGGCTGTAGCTCGGCCATCTCCACGTCTACCGCTTGCTGCTCCCTTGCTTGCTGCTCCCTTGCCGGCAGCTCCTGCTGCTCTTCCCTTGGCAGCCCATGCTGCTCTCCCCCGGGCGGCTCCTGCTTCCCTCCTGCATGTGGCCGGGCCCGGTTCCCCGATTGGTCCTGCTGCGCCTCTGGCTGTAGCTCGGCCATCTCCACTTCTACCACTTGCTGCCCTCCCGCCGGCAGCTCCTGCTGCCCTCCCGCCAGCAGCTCCTGCTGCCCTCCCGCCGGCAGCTCCTGCTGCCCTCCCGCCGGCACCTCTTGCTGCCCTCCCACCGGTACCTCCTGCTGCCCTCCCGCTGGCACCTCCTGCTGCCCTCCCGTTGGCACCTCCTGCTGCCCTCCCGCTGGCCGCTCCCGCTGCCCTCCTGCCTGCAGCTCCCGCTGCCCTCCCGCCGGCCGCTCCTGCTGCTCTCCCGTCGGCAGTACCTGCTGCTCGCCTGCCGGCCGCGCCTGCCGCCCTCTTGCCTGCGGCTCTTGCTGCCCTCTCGCCGGCCACTCCTGCTCCCCTCTCGCCGGCAGCTCCTGCTGCCCTGCCGCCGGCAGCACCTGCTGCCCCCTTGCTTGTGACTTCCGGGCCTCCCCCAACAGCCAGTTCCGTTGCCCCCCCTCCTGCCACGAGGACTGGGTTCCTGCTGGACTCCCCTGCTGCACTTCCGCCCGAGCTCTCCGTCTCTGTTCCTGCCTTTGGGCCAGGCGAGGCCCGCGCGGAGCTGTGAGGGCTGAGCGTGCCAAGGGATTTCCCAGGGCCGTCCGCCACCTATCATGAGACTCCTGCAGTCGCCGGCGGTGTGCCTCCCATGCAGCCATCGCCGCGTCATCACCGGTACCTTGCCTGTGCACCCCATGATCGCACTCGCCCTCATCCGTCACGTCTAGGTCCCGGCTGGAGATGGTGTCGCTGCCGCCTACGAAGCCGCCGAGAGTGTCTTTGGGTGGTTCCTCCATCCCCCCCTCTGTCGAGAGGGGTCCATACCGTTGACGCTTGCTGGGTTTGCCAAAAAGGCAGAGTGCATCCTCATGGTGGGGGCGATAGAGTCGTGGGTATTGTATGCTCAGCGTTGACTCTTTGGGTCTCTTGTGGCCAGACGCACACGGGATCTTCCTCCCTCGGTTTGGGGGGTCAGGGTCGTCGTTCATGGCATAAGCCGTTTGCGGGGAGTGCTATAGAAGCACCTCCCGCCTTCGAAAAAAGGTCCGCAGTCCGGGTGAGCGTCACTAGCGCACGGGGACTCCTCTAAACGCGTGGACGCTCTTACCCGTGGGTGTTGCTACCTAGGCACATATCTCGCCGTGTGGACCCTCCTACGCGCAAATGTTGCTGCTTGGGCGCGGATCTCGCTGCTACGGCGGGGATTTCGCTGCTACGGCACGGTTTTCACTGCTACGGCATGGATTTCGCTGCTACGGCGCAGATTTCGCTGCCTGAGCGCGACTTGTGCTGCTACCGAGCGGACGTCGCTGCTACAGCGTGGTTTTCGATGCGTAGGCGTGGATGTCGCTGCTACAGCGTCGTTTTCGCTGCCACGGCGCGGATTTCGCTGCTACGGCACGGATATCGCTGCTACGGCGCGGATTTCGCCGCCTAGGCACGGATTTCGCTGCCACGGCTCCAGATTTCGCAGCTACAACGCGGATTTCGCTGCTACGGCGCGGATTTCGCCGCCTGGGCGCGGATTTCGCTGCTACGGCGCGGATTTCGCTGCCACGACTCCAGATTTCGCAGCTACAACGCGGATCTCACTACTACGGCACAGGTGTCGCTGCTGTGGCGCGGACTCCACTGCCTAGCTTCGCGCTGCTACCTGCAGTTCGCGGGCTGAGCGGCCAAATCGCGGGTTGGTCAGCAATGTCGCGCCTTTGCGGCTAGGTCGCGGGCGGGGCGGCTAAATCACAGGCTAAGCGGCTAAGACGCGGGCTGGGCGGCTAGATCGTGGCCTAAGCATGTAGATCGCGGGCTGGGCGGCTAGATTGCAGCCTAAGCACGTAGATCGCGGGCTGGGTGGCTAGATCGCGGCCTAAGCACGTAGATCGCGGGCTGGGCGGCTAGATCGCGAGGTTCTAGCGAGAAACGCGCTGCTGACTGCGGATCGCGCTGCTACTAGCGAAAAACGCGTTGCTGCCTGCGGATCACGCTGCTACTAGCGGGAAATGCGCTGCTGCCTGCGGATCGCACTGCTACTAGCGGGAAATGCGCTGCTACCTGCGGATCGCGCTGCTACACTGAACGAAATAATTGTCCACATGCCAAGATATATGGATGGAAAATGTGCATTATTTGCTACCGTGTTCAAGCCTTAATCTAAGGGCGCCACAAGGTTAAAACCCGGAGGGTTGTTCATGGAAAAACAAGGCTACATGGCCATTAACTCGGCTCAGCAATCTGCAGGAAAGGAATTAGGGAAACAGTGTCATATGGACAGTTTCTTACAAATAGAGTCACGCATGCAAACCAGGCTGAATGTAGTACTTGGTCCAGCGACCCTTGGCCTTGAGCACAGCGCGCACACGCCTGGGCATGATGTCGATCAATTCACTGCACCAGGCCGCGGGGATTTTCTCCCATTCCACTTGAATTCTGTCCCACAGCTCGAGAATGCCTGCAGGGGGGCGGGGGTAAGCAACCAGTTGCTTCTTCAAGTAAACCCATAGGTGTTCTATGGGGTCATGGTCCGGACTAGATGCAGGCCATGGGAGAACAGAGTACCGCTACTCTGCAAGGTAATTTTTTACCAGCAGGCACGTATGCTTGGGGTCGTTGTCATGCTGGAACACGACTGCCTCGGGATTCAGCTCGTAATGCTCGATAGTCTGTTGAAGTCCGTCTTGCAGGATTGAACGGTACAACTCCCCGTTCATCATTCCCTCTATCTTGCACATAAAACCCGCGCCGTTGTATGTCATGCACCCCCAAATCATGATGGAGCCGCCGCCATGCTTGACAGTCTGTTTCACATGGTGCGGCTCCATGGGGCAGTCCTGTCTAATCCAGGCCCTACTTCGTCCGTCGCTACTAAACCGGCAGACCTTTGTTTCATCGCTCCACATGACGCGTTTCCAGTCATCCATCGTCCGGTGCTGATGGTCCTTGGCCCACTGCCTGCGGTCGTTGATGTTTTTCTCGGATAGTCTAGGCTTACACGACTTTTCAATCGCCTTAACTCTGTGCCGCGTGAGAGTGTTTTGAACAGTGACGCCAGTGACACTGATGCCGTGTGTAGAAGCAATCATTCCCGCGGTTGCCTCGGCGGATTTCAATTCACATAAAGCTATCGACCTTACGACTATCTGCGCGATTTGCTCGGGTAGCTTGCGCGGCCGACCAAGTTTCGCCAGTGACGGCACTAGCTCGTCGTACGTTTGCAGACTGACGTGGCGGAGAAGCTCGTCATGGACGGCGGACTTCGAAACACCCATCTCCTTAGCGATTTGGCGGTAACTACGCCCCTCTTGAATTAGCTGCATGATGCGCTTCTGCTTCTCCACACTAAGGCGCTTCATGCTGCGGGGGAGATAGCACTAAGGTAAGATCGTAGACAACGCTCGTAATTGCCTCTGTACCTAACGAAACTAGATCTAACTGCGCTCGAAATAATGCGCGAGACATTTTGGAAGGATTTGTCCATATGGGGTGTCGATAGAGAAAAGCTGACTCGTTAGAGCTCCATCGTTTAACGGGCTAGAGGGCGCCTACACAAACCGGTAACACATGACACGAGCCATGTATGCAATTTGTACAATAGAATACATGTTTATTTTACGATTGGAGCCACTTACTCTATAGATCGAGTCCATAAGGACAATCATTTCGTTCACTGTACTAGCGGGAAATGCGCTGCTGCCTGCAGATCGCAATTCACCGGGGGGCAGCTGGATTTTTTATTGGTGTTTTGCCAGCGTACCTACAGGAACAATTTTTGCGTTTAGCGGTTTGTCAAGGAAATTAACGGGACTAACTCTAGCCACTGAGCAACAAAAAGAGCGAGATGAGGTGGGTTGGGTGTGCTAGGAGTGCAAGCGAAATCGGAAATCTAAAATCCTTGGTTGGAGAAGCATACCAGTGTAGAGCAGGGCTTTCCTTAGTCTGGGGACCCGTCTGACGTTAAGACCGGGTCCTGGTCGCTTGTCTGATCGTCAGACGAAAGCTGTAACCATGTCTTAGCTTTCAGACAAATCTGAAGTACTTGTCTAGGCTTCAGACGAAAATGTTACGATAGTCTAATTACATATAATCACTACAGCTACTCATTTTAATGTAAAATTCTAGTCTAAGAGTCACCACTAGCATTACTGCTGCCACTGTCATCATCACTACCACCACTGCCTCTCTCAGACTCAGAGTTAGAGGTTTCCCTCTAATGTAGCTGTGGCTTTTCCCTTTGTCCAGGTAGGGAGTTCCCATGCTGCCTCTTCTGCCGCTCTCTCTCTCTCTTTTGTGGCAGCCACTTCCGCCTCTTTCTGTGCGCGGGTTGCCTCTTTCGCTGCTGCTGATACAACCGCACGTTTCTTTTTTTGATGGGACCGCCGTCTCTTCACCGGGCGTGATCCTTGAGCCAAGACCACCTCACGAGCCGGCCGCCTCTTCTTACTGGCATGCCACCTCTCCCCCAGCTCCTCTGTGTTCAGCTCGTAATCCAGAAGAGAAACAGTCATCAGGTCCCCGAGTGTCGTGTCGCACAAGCTGCCGCGCACCCAGCTCTTAATAATGTTCTGACGGCTGAAACCGCGCTCACACTCAACAGTGCTGAGTGGGAGCACG